CTCGACGTCGCCGCCGGTCGCGTCGTCTATTCTCCGGGCGATAGGAGGGAGCAATGACGACGGAAACGGGGAACGAGGCGCCATGAATGCCACTTAGAGGATTATTAACGACCCGGCGATGCTTAGCGCTCGGCTGATGCTTTCAGGCGATTCGAAATTCCCATCTTGGGACGTCTTTAACGACTGCCACGCCGAGATTTACGCCGGGGTCCTCGGGCTCGCGGCCGGTGCTCAAAGTCGTCGAAGCGAGTAGGCGAGCGTAATCGTTGTCCGCGCGGATCTCCCGCGCGGGATATCCGCGACGATGTCCACGCGGGGTTTTCGACGTAAGGGTTACGAGGCCTGTTGAAGGTCCTGCGTGAAGACGCAGGCCGCCGTTTTCCGTGCTTTGCGCTGGCAGGCGGATTTAGGTAGTAATATATACAATAGCCATCCAGGTTTAATTAATATGAATATATGCGGCGCGATTCCGCGCGGTTCTTGTGTGGCTGCCACGCGTTCGATCACTCCGATGCCGCTGGCATACGGAAGATCCGCTCGATAATCCTATCAAACCCGTCTTATTGAATATGCTACCGTAGGGTTTCTCAATCGACGCGTTGCGCTTTTAGAATTATTTAGAATGATTTTACCGTAGGAAAGTTTATTCCGTAGGTTGAACGCAAACGATTGAATAGAAAATGTGCATTTGAATGATTAATAAATGCGAGAGACCTTTAAATATTTTTTTTTCTACGAGTTATGTATTTTATATATTTTCAATATTTTTTTTTCTTTGTTACAAAAGTGAGTTATTAAAAAGATAAAAAAGTTTTCTATATTCTATATTCTATTATGGATGTACGTCAGTTAATTGTTAACGTTACGTCATGAATAAATGCATCGTATGGTGTAATTATACCGTGCAAAATATCTAAAGTTCGTAATACAATGAAACACAAAGAGTCTGAAAAACACTTGTCATTCCAAGCAATCTGGACGTCCCATGGATACTCTTAAAAATTGTACGGTACTGAAAATAAGATTCCATATATCTGAAATCCTGTGGCTGTCTTTGCGTGGCGACTCGCGGAAGGAGAAGATCAAAGACGACGATTGCTCTTTCAGAAATACACAAAAAGAGACGGAAGAGATTACGTCGGGAACGAAAGAGGGTGCTGACGGGGTGTAGACGGAAGAGGTAGATTGAAAGGAAGAAACACCGTGCGAAATGAAGAGGGGCGCGTATGTTTTACACGCGGATTTTATCTTTCGGCGAGACCGCAACCGGATCACGAAAGACTCAGGTAATCAATGGGTAACAAATTTCGCGAAACGTGAACCATTCACCTGTTTTATTTTAAACGCTCGTGTTTTCGTTGCATTTCTCCCTTAGGCTTTCATTTATACTTTGTTACTGTCTTTTAATCGCTTTATCGGCCGATACCATCGTATGTTAGTCCCTGATGAATATTTTCGATCTTCTCGCGCTTCTTCGAAGAAAAATACGAAAAAAATGTGATGTTTAATTCGCTATTTTTTTCGATGTTAGATATTTCTAGTATTATTTGCCAACATTGAAGAAAGGCTGATCTCATACGAATTAAAATTAATGATTAAAGACTATTAAAGACGTACCTAAAAGACCACTCGTCGTGATCTCATTTATTTTAATGCTCTTACATTATTATGCCATATATTTTTACGATAAAATTTCTGCACAACTTCTGCAGCTTATAACAATTTCGTGAATATATATATTCGCGCCAGAGATAAGACTTGAGCAATACGTTATGCACCATGCGGTATGCAGAATTGCAACAGTGATACCAGATATAATTTATTTTCCTCTTCATTAAAGGAGATGAGCAAACGGGAGACTAAGCGAAAGAACCGATCCATTTCTTGCCGATAAACAAAAACCAAGAGCAGGGCGGTCTTGTGTGTAAGGGTCAATATGGGATCGTGATGTATCGTCCGGTTGGACGCATCCCTTCTCGTCCGTATCCGAGCATAATCCGAGGGACGGTGGAAGCTGCCGTAATAGAGGCTCGTGCCGCGATGCGGGCTTAATGCGTTACGGATTTTCTTTCAGGCTTGTTCGTTTCTGCGCACCGAACGTAACCGCCTTACCGCATACCTCGGTCTTAACGCGAGACGCGTGCACGACGCAAAAAATAATCTCAATTTCACATTCTCCCTACCGGAGCATCGTAGCGAGCGTTGCATTTGCATACTGTATGTTTTCGAAAATCAAAGGTGATGGCGATATTTTACAATGAAAAGACTACATTCACCGCGCGTTTCTCGCGGTGTTGGTTTTTAAACAAAACAGTCGAGTCTGTATGTCGTGATTATCGCAGGATTTAACGCGTCGACCGTTACATTAGCATTATATTGTTATACCGTCAACGAGCGTCGAATTCTGCCGGGTGAATGTATTATCATTGTTCCGAGAGATCTCACAAAGCGTTACGTTTACATTGGTCTCGTAGATGTCTATCCGTAGAGGTCCTTCGCTGCCATACAGCCGGGAAGTATGTGGGAGCAGCACCGTGTCTAATATTCTCGGATTTTCTCTGGCATTCGTTCTTCGCGCGTCACGTCCCTTTTTCGCAATAACCACGCTCTACCCAGAGTTCTTTGATCTTTGCTTGAAGTGCAAGCAACGCAGAGAGACGTGCGGCTAAATGCACGTTTGTGCATGTGTAGGAAAGATGCATTCCTTTAAATGACACAATTGCAATCAGAAGGGAAGGAGGAATTACGATTAAAAAGTAGCTTCAGGAAAATTTTTATATAGACTAAATTATTTAAAATATAAAGTTACCTTTTCCTACAGAATTTCTTACGTAAGATATAGAAGAAAAATAACATATTACGAATGATTGAATGATTTTGAGTTTTCTGAAAATACCTGTCATTCTTCTTGCGTAAAAAAATTTAGAAAAGACTCGAATTTGGTTAAAATATGCTTATTTCTTTGGCTTTCCGCAAGAATAGAGTACTATGAACGATTGATTAAGATTTAGGTTTATTATTTTTTTTGTATATGTTAGAAAATGGGGTAAAACATATTTTTAAATATAATTTTTTGTCTTAGTCTTTCTGTACATTTTGTGCAACTACAAATTTTTGTATAATTACATATGTAATAATCCGTGTAATATATTAATGCAATCTATATAATATATTGCATATCTACATCATACAACATAACAAATAAAAGAATAAGAATAAATAGAAATTGCGCAAAGAAAGTGAAAAAAATATTGTGTAAAAAGTATCAAATAGTGTTAAAATACAGAGCGAAGATTTTGCTTGAAGACTTTTTTCTGTAGAAAAGAGCTCCATATTACAAGGTATGTAAGACGCTGATGAAACGTGAAGAAGAAGCAAAAGAAAAACGTAGAAAGACCATTAATAACATTTTAATTATTTTCATCGTCGCGCTGTCGCAGACTCCTCGCGCTCATAAATTTTTTCTTCGTCATACTCATACTCCTCCCTCCCCCCTCCCCCTCTCTCTTTCATCCCCCGCGATTAATTATGCGGACTACAAGGAGGAATTTTTCATATGTAAATTTTTGCATTATTCCGACACGAGGGGTGGGGGAGGTAGTAAGAGGAGAATATATGTGCATAGGCGTGCAAAACGCCGAGAGACGGGCTGCGCAAATGAACCTCTCGCATTTCAAGAATAATGTCGTTGTTCGAGCGCGAGAAAAATTGCGGCTGGGCGGGCGGCGCTTTGAGTTGTACGTGTTGCTTCGCATATATATTCGGGATTACGAGTGTCTTCGTCTTTTGAGCACTTTCGGAATGCAATCGAATCTCCCGCAATTGCGTTCTAATTCCTACAAATAAATATATCTATACATATTTTTTTCTGACATTTAAAAGATGTATGATGTGAAACCTTTCAACCAAACCATTAGTCTTTTGTTTTCGAGCGTTTTTGAAAATGGCGAATGGAACTCTACTTCAACATGATTTTATGTTTTATTACTAATTTCTATCTTCAGCCGGTGATCTAATGATATTATTACCAATACCGAATCTGAAGTTACTTATTCTCTTTTTTACCGCTCAATTTATTACTCGAAGGTTAGTCGTTAGTCTTTATTGCCCGTTTCGTCGCACAGGTATTACCCAATCTCCGGCGATCCACGAAGGCGATCTGTCGGACGCGGGGAGATACGCTCGTTTTCTCGAGAAATATCAACGGTTGCATTGTGGTGACATTCCCGGGTGTGTGTTTTGTTGGTAAAGTGCCCGCGGCATTCGCAAATGGTGTGCTTTGACCAGCGTGCGACTCGCGCCGATTCCTCGTCTTGTTCCTCCCTGTGATATCTCTCTCCCCCCCCCCTCTTTCCCCCTCAAATTGGCGGCAATTGCACGATCACCGATGAGACTCACTTTCGTTTTACGAGGAGCGAAGTGCCTCGCTGGAATAGGCAATAAGGCGTTATTCCTGCCTTCCGTGGAGTGCAACTTTTACGGCCGGGAGGGAAAATGGCTGGTCGTGCGACCGGTCGCTTATGCCATTGGCGACGAAATGATACGTTTCCGGTAAAATGGTCCGATGTAACCCGGCTGAATCGATCGAACGCGGGCGTGTAACGCGCGTATAATTTTGCAAGACTGGGCATTCACGGACGACAAAAAAGAAAGTGCCGAGTACGTGATAAAAGTGCACCTCGGAGTTGCGACTCTCGCCATTATCTCATCGCTCGTTTCCGTTTCAGTGGTGACAGGCGCACACCACGACCGATACGTAATTACCATGGTGTACGTATTATCGCGTACACACGAATAGATATGCGCCTGCCTTCACGGCACATCCGTGATATCGACCATTTTATTATGTATATTATACGTCGGCTCTCTTTTGCATAGGTAAACCGCGATATCCGATTAGAGATTCGCATAATTTGACGAACCATTACGTTAATTTCGCACAAAGTGGAACAGCCGCGTTCGCCAGTTTCTCATATCAGTTCCTTCTCTTATCGTTGCAGCCCGAAACGGTGCCTCAGGCGAGGATCGACATGACCCGTGTCTTGGAGGTGGCCGCAGCCGAAGACGTCACCGGACATCCTTACAGCCTCGCCGTAACTTCGCCGGAGGGTGTAACCTTCGTCAAAGGAACGTGTCGTGAAGAAACTAGATGGTGGTCGGACGTTCTTCAGGTGTACTCACGAAATAAGGTTGGTTCAGTTTGACATCCCGACTCTTTTATTTTTGCACTCTCTCACGCCATGTCATTTGCTTGCGCGTGATCTGATTAATTCTAGAATATTTGGTTGATTTGGTTTTGATTGAATTATAATCAAAAATGAAAATGTAAACTTTGAAAATTCTCGTGACTCTCATTTCTTGAAAGAATACTCATCTAAAGTTATGCAAATATTAATTTTTAAAAGTATCATATTCTTTTATCATCTAAATAAAGTATGAATCAATTCGTGAATTTACGAAATTAAATTTCGACGTTCCGTTTTTAAATTTATCATTCTTTGTGTGATCCAACAAGATACATGGAAAATTACTGCAAAGACACAACGTAATTATCGCATTGAATTACAATGGAAATCAATCTAGGGGAAAAAAAGGTTTGATAGCCGAAAAAAAAACCGCGTGCGTTGATTCCTAATGTATACTTGCGACGTCGAGTGGCGTCTCACATGTATCATTAGAGAATTTAATTTTCTGTCGATTACGGAGAATACGCAGCGGCAGGGCTCCGCATCGATACCGTATTACGTCTCTGAAAGAGCGTTGCGCGAGAGAACGGAGTCACGCAAACGGTAGGAAAACGCAACCGTCGGCTGATTGCGGGTGCCCTCGCATAATCATTACGTGCCATACATCCTCTCTCGCGTCATGCTTGTTACACGTGCAAGAATGATTCCCCCGTTTGTGACGTCTTTTCGCGCCGACGGGATTAGCTTTGATAGGGTTTCTACATGCTACCAGAAACCTATTCGGCGAAATACGAGAGAGAACCCGAAGACCATCGCGATTATTTCAGTACGAATGCTTTGGTATCGCTGCGAGACATATTGAGATTGTGATCTTTGAGAATTGACCTTTTCTCTCATTTTTCACACAGTACTACGAATAGAACATTTTAAATTTGTTTGGGTTGTTTTTAGCTTTCGATTAATATTTTGACTAAATGGTTAATATTTTATTTATAATAATAATTCAGTTTTTATCTCGAAGAAAATTATCAAAGAATGTATAAAAATTATTTTCCTAATTGTGTTTTATTTAAATGATTTATTTATATTTTCTAATAAAATTTTCTTTATGTTTATTCATGTTTCACAAATAAAATTGATTAAATTAATAGTTATGAATCTTATCAATATATTTTAATATTGTTTAATCGTAAGTCAAATATAAAAATAAAAATTTTGGGCACTCTTGCAACTCCTATTTTGAAACAAAAATATCGATCTAGAATGCAAATTTTAATTTTTAGAAAGTATATTTTCTTTGAATAGATTATGAGTAGAATCAATTCGTAAAGATGACGATTATCGATCAATATCGATGCCACTTGTCGATGCTGATGACCAGAATATCTTTATTGTCTTTCGTTATATAAAAGCGATCGTTGTACGTCGCGGAATTAGCGACAATGTAGGACAGAATGCGATGTCGATAAAAGTGCGTTGTCGAGTTCATAAACGGGCGGACGGGCACTTTCGCGTGATGAAGCGGTTATTGAGTGCGATTGCGTCGGCCGAAAGGCCTTTCGAAAAAAAAAATAACGTAAGCGACAGTGAAACTGCTAACGTTACCTCGCATAATCACCGTTCTGACCGATGCATACCATGGCGCTCATTATAAGTCGACAATAAACGCCAGTAGTGCGCGAGTTGTCACTGCTGGACCTCTCGCGGAATTGTCAGACGAGTCGATTGGCCGCTTCCTGCGATTCATCCGTCTTTTCGCGAGATCTCTCTAAAGGAGAGCCCCCGTTTTCTCTTTTCACTCGTCGTTTTCTAACGTCGCGCCGGGGCGTCGCAAAAAGAGCGCCATTATTCAGCCGACGAGCCAAAAGCGTCCGGTGACAAATGGCGAGTGCACCGTTTCACTCGCCGCTATGCGATCGTTGAAGCTGGACGTGAGAACAATCCTTTCTAGTTCGCTAAAAGCTACTTCGCAAGTGCTAACTCCATTAATTACGCGCGTGCTCTTAACGCGTCATGTTACAAGTTCGACAATCTACACTCATTTTTTTCTTAGTACCTTATACTGATATCTCATGGTGAAAAACTTGTACAGAGCGCGATATCTACATCTCTGTTCATATTTCGCTTATAAGCAGCCGCAAGTTTGTTAATCGGCAAGATATGTAAAATACCTAGGATTGGCGAACGAATTGAAAGATCTGATTGTTACAACTTCGTTGTTCCACGCCCACGTAGCGGCGCGAAACAACAGTAAATTTATGACATGTTTCTCAGGTGTTGCAAATTTGTTGCGGCCGTAAAACAACCGCTGCTGAAGCGGGACATGTTTATCCAACTTCAACTTGTCGACGACCTCAGGTTTACAACAGTGTGTCAAGTTTATATATTGTTGTATATATTCATTGTGCAACTTACAAGTTGGACAAGAAGCGAGTCGAAAAGAAATTCGGGTCGAGCTCGCGTCGTGTCGATGATCTTCCCTATTCGAATAATCGTCTAGCCTTTCTCGATTGTCTATTAAATTGCGGGCCCAGATATCCGTTCACGAGCCTTCCAATAAATCAACCGTCATAAATCGAGCCGCTCGTCAAAACCGTGATTCGTTACATCGCTCGAAACTTTATAACAACGCCGCTCGGCCACGAGTTACGCAAGGAATGATCGATCAACGAGAAAAAAATATCTCTTCGTTCGGCATTTCTGGTGCAAAATGCAAAGTACGAGGTGTTACACGTTTGTGGCACGATATATTTTATCGAAGGACAGATTTTACGGGAGATATTTTATTTATATGTACCCAAAAATGCATTCTCGCGTGTTACAACATATCCTTTTCAGCTAATACATTTTTTATTTCTTTCTCTTTAGAGCGGGTATTTTTTTGTAAATTAACACTATAAGTTAACCAACGACAAGTTATAGTAGCGGGAGGAAAATGTTTTCTGAATTGAATTGTCAGGATCGATAAAGAGAGCTCTTTAGCTCTGCGAATTCGACGCTTTGTAAAACTGTCGTATCTGAATTATGCGTTACAACGCGCGCGCGTTGAAGCTCGCAAAGCTGTAATTCTCAGACAAAAAGCATTCTCCGCGGACCCAAGGATGTTGCCTCTCTCGCAATAGCTTGATAATTATCTCTTCAAAACAGAATGGAGTATTCTCTGGCGCCCGCGGGTTTCGCGTCGGCTACCAATGGATCAATCGTCCTCACGTGAATCGTTTAGTGAATCGCCGTCGTAGGCTCGCATTGTTCGTACGGGAGATTACACATACGTCAATTCCGTTACGCAAGCCAATGATCGATCGGCAAACGGCTACACCTCGTTGTCGCGGACCCGCTGGTGTAAACGAACGATTACATTACGAGGCCAAGGCGAGATGCATACTTAGGTGCCGCGCGACATTTAACGCGGTGAACGTGAAGGAAACGCCGCTCCGACGTTATTTTCCACATTTTTTTGCGATTATTACTCCCCCCTTCCCCCTCCTCTCCCCTCCTCTTCCCCATCCTCCGCTGTCATTCGAACCGCCACGCTGTCTAATGCAAAGGAGATTTACTTTGCACCTTGAAACTCCTCTCGCGAAGTTCAATTCGCCATCATCGCGGCTTCTCTTCTTTGTTTCTTTTTAAGCTGCAACACGAAAACAATGATGACACACATCAGGAATGTTGAATTACGTTGGATTACCGAGTGAATAGATATATCTCTATATTATCTATATAATTGGTAATATGCGACGATGGTTATCTTGTAAGTTAGACGTTAAACGGAAAATCAAAACCAATTAAATGTTTTCCAGGAAATGTAATATCCATTCGCGGATGTTCTCACGATTGCGAGTGCGGATGGGAGTAATCGTGCGATTATTCGCGGGCCGCTTTTCAGATCGCGCTTTTCCTCGTCGCGATCGATCATCTGGTCAGATTGTCACGGGCGGAGGAACGCGCGAGAGTTTTAACAATAGAATACTTTGGGTAAACGCCTCCTCTATTACGATTGTCTTCACGGTTTTGCGTTCTGTGTGTCTTTCAGGGTCGGCACAAGCGAAATGCAACCTTTCCCGGTGGGCAGACGACGATTCTGCAAGTTACACCGACGATTCGGAGTAAGTACCTACTTGCTCGTGTTATGTAAATTTTATAGTATTTATAACACGCGCAGTATTTATATACGCGTGTATATACGCGTGTAGACGTTTCCACGCCGGTAGTTAACACGCGTAATCACTATCTCATTTAGCCATTTCGCTCTGTGGAAAACGCGATATTGCATAGACGCGGGTCTTTACGCAAGCAATTTGATGTAATGAGAGGCGTAATGCGCGACAGTTCAGCCGGCGTGGTAAATAACGTCTTTGAGCGTGTGCGATAGAAATGAATACGAATGGGAAGATAAGATATTGGCACGAGGGAGAAGGCAGATATCTTTTTCACAATGTGTACGACTAACTATTATCATACTGCCACCTCGTTATCCTTAGTTTTGAGAGAACGAAGTTCTCGTTACACCTAATTGAATTGCGTTTACTTTAATTATTCATGACGGAAATTACGGCGATTCACAGCTCGGATCGAGTCACATAGTCGAGATGATGACTTCTTAATTTCGCATAAATCTTTCTTATAATACGTACAAATCTTCCTCGTACTAAAATCTTTAAATTTTTTTCATTAACAATTTTTTTTTTTTTTTTTTTTTTTTTTAATAAAATCCATCCTATTCTATTTGTAGAGATTTTACATTTCGTTGTCTACACGGAAAAAAAATTAATCTTAAAAATATTCTCTGTATGTATACGTGAAAATATTATCTTCTTAAAAAAATCTTCTTAAAAATTTCAGTCTTGATTTGATTGAATTTGATAAAGTATTGTTTTTTTGTTACACTCAAAAGTAAAAGTCTTTTATATGAAGATTACAGTATTCTTACTTATATACGAGAATATGCAGTCTTGATTCAAGACTGATTCTTTTCCCTGCGTGTTCTATTCGCATGAATGAGCTTTTATAAAAGGTGACACTTGAACTTGATCGCCAGGTAACACGCCAAATCCACCGCGACCGCGCTTCAATAGTTGCCGATCGGAGCCGCGCAGCAGCCCGTGGATTCCCGAGACCGGCGGAACGTCGGATTTGTGCTCCTCCGTTTTCTCATCCACGTCGTCCTTGGTGACGACCAGTGTCGTCACCGCTACCAGCAACAGCGCGCTGACCAACGGCAACAAGGAGAGCATCTCCGAGATCAGGAACAACCTGTCGCCTCTGCGTAGCCTCGAGAACGGTTCCACCGGAAGTTATCTGACCGTGGTGACGTCAGCCACGTCGTCGTCATTGAACGGTAACGTCTGCAGCACGATCTACTCGACCTCCTCGACGGCCGTCTCGACGGCGACGACAACGACGACGACGACGACAACGGCGACAACGGCGAGTAGCATCGTCTCGTCGTTGTCCGACAAGCCGCCGATGATCCCCAACGACGGCATTAGATCGACAAACTATCGAGATCAACCTGCGAGCAGCGCGTCACCGCCGACCCGGGACAAGCTCCGTGCCGAGGACAAGGCCAGGCGCAGGATGAATCAGCAGGGCGAACGGACCGGCGGCATTATCGGCGACGCGGCTGGCCCAGCCTCCGGCGAGAAACTAGGTCGGTATATATTAAGTGAGGCACAATATCTCCCTATATTGACGCGGCGATAGATGATACTGTCATCCGTCACTCTGACATCCCCCTGACTCCGATTACGCAGGATATGATATCTTTATGGTCTTTGTAATGTGAAGGATGAGATTTCGCTGTTTGCGCGCGTTTATGATAAAGAAATTGATAGACAGAGCTGGTTTATAATCAGGGTATCTGTATACTACCTGGAAAAATCTGGAAAACTTGAAATTCTCAGAGAATTTGCCTTGAAAGATCAGGAAATTTTTTTAAAAGAATTTTATTAAAAATTAGGGAATTTTTTGAAGTTACTTTTGTTTTTATTATATAATTGGAAATTTATTTTTAAAGATAACAGTAAATTCATTCCACTCTAAATATTACATTGATTTTATAACTAATGCAATACTCAGTATTGAAGATAACGATGTCATATTAGATGCAGTTTTTTTAACGAGGATGAATATTTATTTTAATAATTTTATAAAAGTAGACTCTTGTTACCGGTTATGCATTATATCATTTTTTGTCTAGTAGTTTTTGCGAATAAAGTTGAAAATTTTATACAATATAAAATATTTATTTTTAATACTGATAAGTTGCTATATACAATTATTTTATTTGGGATGATTTATGTCTTATCATCGATTATGTTAAGACATATGTTAGACACATGAATAATCGGCAAAAACGATTTGTAAGGAATGTGATTTCATTTTGAAATGCTCGTGAAAGTCACGTTAGAACTCATAATTCTCAGAAGGTTCGTCTCACCTTGTCACGATTCACGTCGAAAGTTTTTCTTGCTCTTAATAGACGGATAAAACTAGTTTAGATACGGATGGAAACTAGGACGCCACCACCTCTTTGCGTTTTACATTCTCAATGATGATGATGATTTGCAGTCCGCGGAAGAAACGACTGATGTATTACAGCCGGAGCTGACCTATTTTTATTCAATATAATTGATACTGTAAACGTAGTAATTATGAAAACATTGCTATAGACTCGCATAGAAAGCTATATTAATAAAACTAAATCTCCTTCAGAAGAATTACAATTGTAATAATAAATTAATCCTCGGGAACTCAAATGCAAATTTTCAACTTTATATGGAACGTTTTATCATTAAAATTTTTAATTGTGATAAAAGAAAATTTTATCTAGTTTAAAATATATCTACTTAATTGGTTGATCGCACTAAAGTCTAAAATTTTAAAAAATTTCAAATTTAGTTTATATTGACCTGAGATGAATACAAAAAAAAAAAAATCGCTAAAATCCAAGTAAGTTCCTGAAAATTAAGGAAAACACTTCAACACAAGAATTGGCGATCTCTGCTTAGAAAAAAATCGAATACTATCGTGTTTCGTGCTTAAAAAATTTTCCCGCCTGTGCGTTTTTCTCTTCAGGGAGAGTATTGAAACCCGATTGTATTCTCCCGTATCCAACGTTACACGTTGCGTAATTGCGTGCGCGCAATCTCGAAGGAAATCTACGGCCGCCGCGGCGTGCCGCGCGATCCGCAGATTTCATTTAGATCGACGCGAAATGAACGACGGGATACTTTAGAAACTGCGTCGCGAAAAATCCGACGCAGGCATGCGAAATCCGTCGAACGATCTCACTAACGATTTCCAACGGACGCGCGGATTATTGAAACGCGTCTGTCTTATCGTTGCGTCGAAATCACTCTGAGATTTAAACCGCAGATCGCCGATTAGCCTTGGTCGGCTTAATCACCCCCCGACCAAGATTCCAATGCGGAATTTATTCGCGAGAGATCTGCGATTTATTAATATCGCAAAACCGCGATTCCCCCTCTGGCGAAAGCTTAAGGAAATTTATATTTTAATTTCATTTACTGTTAGTTTAGTTTTGCAGGGTCTCGTTTAGCTCTAATGTAGCTCTAATGTAGCTCCATTTTCAATTGACTTTAATCTTATATATGTATATATATATATATATATATATATATATAATATACTGTAATCTTTCAGATTCAATTTATCCTCTAGATGAAACATAATATTTTTTCTGATGCGAGATAGCCATTAATATAATGATGACGCGTTTGATTTTGACATACCGCTAAGATAAACGAGAAGTAAAGCGCGCGTAAGATGACCTCTTGCTTCTCGCTTATTGCGCCATTGGCTAGAAAGTTATTAATTAGTCGGCAGTCAATTAATGCGGAGTGGTCATTTACCCGACGTGCCAACGAGCGCCCATGTCGGCGCTTAAGTAGAAAAAAATTTAATTAGTTAACTTGACGTAGCGAGACGAATATTTGATAACGAAATGAATGCTGAATTAACGGTTTCGTCTTATCGCGGTTCAATTCACGGGCCATTTTAATTATTATAATTGTAATTTCTTGAAGCTGTCAGCGCGCTCGTGCGCAAATCGAAATAATGAAATGAATAAATAAATACACAGACGAGCAGGTAAATTCGTTAATATTATATCGCACAGCGGACAGGTAGAGTACAGAAATGTAAAAAATTTATATTGTATAGACGAGGATGCGTGCCGGAGGATATTTCTGGAGCACGAGCGAGAGAGAGAAGGAAAATTACGAGATATAGCGGCCTCCTTGACACAACCACGAGTGAGGAGAATTAAGCCAAGAACTTCGGAGCCAACCAGGGACGTAGTAGACGCGGTCAATGCGGCTCATCAAGATAAACTTGTACGTAATGGAAAGATATGAGGAACTATTAGTTACCAACTAATATTTATCAAAATAGTTACCAACTATTAGTTATTTGTATCACACAGCTTTGACAGATAATTATTCATTATATTTTTACTTATTCGATATTTCATGGAAGTATATTTAATTTATTTGATTTAGTCGCGCGACTAAAATTTTATGGAAAATAATAAAGCGACTTTTTCTATTCGAGGATTATCAATGTTTGATTTTGCTTAGAAAACAAGATAATTACGTTATAAATGCATTACATGTATAGATCAGAGGCGATCCTGACGGCTGCGGCCTAGATATTTCCGGCATCAGGTATTCACCCACTTCCGAGCTGAGAGTCGATTTGCCGGCGGAGGACTTGCTGAACATCAAGAAAGGCTGGTTGATGAAGCAGGGATTAAACAAGGTGTGTTTTGCATCTTCGAGTGCGAATCAAGTCCGAGAACTCTCGCGCGTCTTGTTTAACGAAATTTTTCACTTGTTTCTTTTTTTTTTCTTAGGAATGGAACAAGCACTGGTTTGTTCTGAGGGGCTGTGGATTGATGTACTACAGAGATCCCTGTGCGGAGGACAAGGGCATCATGGATGGCGTTATAGACCTCAATACTGTCACTGCGGTTACGCCGCTTCAGGTCGCACGAAATTATGGATTCCAGACTGTCGTGAGTAATCGTAATTATGGCATCGCGTTTGCGTGAGCGAAAAGCGCTTGCGTTTCCCGGAAAGTAACCGCTTTTGCAAACCAATTTGCTTAATTGCAGGTGCTTAATTATGTGATAATGGTGTATCTTATTTTTAAATAAAAGAATTTAGCGAATCTATTATGTACTGTAACCCACTTTTTTTTTTTAATTAAGAAAGTCCAAAGTAGAGAAAATTGGACAAACACGTTAATATACATCAATTCAAAGAGACTTCGAGAAAGTTTAGCTTAATATCGAAAAAATTAGATTCGCCCGTGTTAATTTTTATTTTTTAAATGTTTTTAAATCTTTTACTTAAACAAAACGTGATAATAATGAAAAGATGAAGAAAGTATTAAAAGATATATAGATAACATCAACTTGAACCAATCGATAAGTTTGAACTTTAATTAGATGATCAGAATTAGCTTCCGCATTTAGAATGGGAGCGTCCAGGAGAACAGTAACTCAATTTCACGGTAGAATAAATCAGGAGCTTCTTATTCACGCTATTGATTGTTGGCAGCGATCACGTTTCTCGCTCGAGTCCATGCGGTCGCATGACATTTTTTTTTATGCTTATGTCGTTCGTGCGGCGCGTACTGATTATTTTGGTTTGCAACATAGGCTTGGGATGACAGAGGTAATACGGTGCTGTCCGCGGTGACAGCTGGTATCAGGTCCAGTTGGATGTCGGCTATCAGAAGAGCAGCCAATCTACCTGATCCAGACATCAACGTAGATTCTCTTACTGTTTGCCCGGATACGCAGCAAGAAACGAATCCGCAATCGCCTACCGCGTGAGTATAATTACATAATTATTTAGTAAACAATTTTTTATATAGCGATATTATACAATAATAGTATCTTTTGCTGACAAAGTAATGCATTTAAATATTCACGCTTAAAAACAGTTATATGTTATCATATTTTACAACATGTCTTTTAAAAGATAGAAAGAATATTTCAAGAAGATATTTAATTATATATCTTTAAAGATGCATAACATCAAATGTTGTTTTTTGTTATAGATCCATCACAGATCGTGAAAGAGACTCCGTTGTTCCGTCGACGTCCATCACGCCTAGATCAGTTCTGTTCTCATCTGACGAAGAGTATAGGACCGCTTCCGAGGGTGGACGAAGAGAGTCGGGTGATTGGTCAGAGATGCCAGTATCACCACCATTGGTAAGAAATGGCGATTGGCCTATAGCGCTGAAGGGTTCCGGCTGGTCAGATTCGACGAACCACGAATGGTCAGAGCTGCCACCGTCACCACCATTAACAAGAACCGCTCTATCTAGAGTGAAAGCTCGGTCTAGATCGAGTTCCAGATCGAGAGTTTACAAGAGAAGCCGGAGCTCGCCCCCGAGTTCGCGGAGAAGCACATTAGATAGCGTAAGATCGGAGGATCTGATGATGGCTTGCTGTGAACTCGGCGAGGACGAGGAGCAGAACAATGGCCACCTGCAGAACAACAGCTGTCTTTCGAGCTCCAACGACAGCCCTCTGATCGTTGAGCTTTTGGAAAATCAAGTGTCGCTGCTACGTGATCAGTTGGATCAAAATCAGTCTCATCCGAGTACATTACTAGTCATTGTCGAGCGTCAGGAAAGTGAAATCGAGAGTTTGAAGTCGCAGCTGAATGCGGCGCGAACTGATATTGCGAATGCAGAAAAGGAACTGTCTAGACTCCGACAGCAAAAGGTGGAGGCGTCCATCAGGGAAAAACAAGTTGAGGAACTGTTGAATACAATACAGAGGACGGAGCAGCAAAGAAACAAGGATTTGGACGACTTGGAGAAGATGAAGAAAGTGTATAATAGAGAGAAAGAGGTCTTGGAATGTAAATTACTTGAAACAGAGGCTATCCTGAGGGAGACGACGGAGAGATGCGAAATGCTTACGAACGAACTGACATCGAGTCACCGAACCGTCGAGCATCTGCAGGCGGAAACAGCAGCTCTCAGCGATAGATTGTCGCAAGGTATATTGTATTTTTTGATGAAACAATTTTATGTTTTAATAAAGTTTAAATATGTTTAACTAGTAATATATTATTTTTTAAATTAGGGATCGAAGAAAATGAACGGCTTTATAACAGAGTAAGGGAATTAGAAGAAAAGAATGGACTCTCTGCGTCGAGAGAACGTGGGAGAAGTTTCGATTCTCTTAGCGACTTGACTAACATTGAATTAGATTTAGATTTGACTGCATTGGATAAAGAAAGGTAAATATGCGATACAAAAGAAGTATATTGTATAATAGTAGTCATGTGTAATATAATGTTTATACTGCAGGGTTATGGAGGAATACGATGAATTGCGAAGCCGTTTCGAGAAAGCTATCATGGAGATACGAGCTATGAGAAAGGAATTGCGAGAAGCTCACGCCACACAAGATGTTTTGGAATTAGAGATATTTGCTCATAAACAAGATGCAGTTAATGTCAGCGAAACAAATCAGGCACAGATTCAGCTAATGGCAGCGAGAATTCAAGACCTGACTAATAAATTAGCTGCTAGCGAAAAGCAGATTAGAACACTGAAACAAAAGCTAACAAAAGCTGAAAGCAGAGACAAGAGAAGATCACTCTCTCTTAAAGGAAGAGAATCTTTTCAGATCTCTCAAGAAGTGGAGGACAAATTGTTGGATTTAGAAAATAAGATCTGCGCTATAGAAAGAGGTAAGAGCATCAGCGCTCCTGCTTCAGCTGGCAATAGTTCGAAGGAATCAAGTCCTAATCTGAAAAAAGAGAAGAGAAGAGAAAGCAAAAATCTGGATCGAGCTAGATTGCGAAGAAAGTCTTTAGATAGCGCGACGAGCTCTGAACCAATGAAAGTATTGATTAGACTAAGTACTCTGGAGACAAAAGTAGCAAATGTTGCCGAAACTATGGTCAGCGACGCAGAGAAGGATTCTAGCGAGTGTAGTGAAATCAGCGGATCCTCTGAGGTATCATTGGAGGTCTTGGCAAGGTTGAAGAAACTAGAGAGAGTAGTGTCAAAGTCAAAACGACGATTAGAAAAATGTCTTGGCTCGACACAAGCAGAGGATAAGGCCGAAAAGTGTTTGCGCGAGGTGAACGAAATATTGGACTCGTGTTTAGAATGTAAGAAGAACCAGGCTAGCGCTCAAATCACCGAATCAGTAGGAGTAGTGGTATCTAGACTAGAAACTATACTTAAGGACAAACTTAGCGAACTCACGAAGAGACGGCAGTTACTGGCGCAGGAAGGTCGGCTAGATGAAAGAGAGAAGATGAGACTTATTGCCGAGAGAATAGCCTTCGAGTCCGTGATCCTGCGGCAGATAAAGTGCGCGCTGAATCGCACGACAGATAGAAGCGCCGTTCTGAGTGAATTGGTCGAAACTAGTCAGCTTGCCTCAAGTTTAAAACGTAAGATTCACGGAACTAAGCCCAAAACGTACCAAAAACGAATTACATTCAGTATCTCACTAAAGTGTTAGCGAATAAGTTAGTACTGATAGGACACTCCTCTATATCGGCAGAAACGCCGAAGGAGATTAGTGCCGCTCGCAGCGAAAGTCTGAACTTTTTGCTGCAGAAGCAAAGAGAGATCAACGAGATCATGCGAAAATATAAGGATACAAAGTTGCGACAGCTCGCGGAATCTCTGGCTGCCGAGACGTTGAGTCTGTCCGAGCAGGAGGATCTCGCAGGCAAGCAGATCAGCGGCTCGAACAAGAAATTACTCGAGGATAGACGCATTCGTGAGGCATGGGCTTTAGCACAAGAGACTGTGAGTAAGGAACTCGTACAGGCCGAAGTATCTCACGTTATCATGCGTTACGGACAATTGTATGAGCAAAATGTTACTTCAATCACGGACATTTGTCTCAGTTTTGATAACGCGGACAATGTTAAACTAGAATCGTGGGTGGACGCGGCGCAAACGCGATTGCGCCAAGAGATGGAGGTTTCCATACACGAGTTGTCGGAGGCTTACGAGGACTGTCTACGTACGATGAAGAAAAATAAATTGACGACGCTTGATTCCAAGCACGAATCCCGCCAACTGCTGACGGACTATGCCGACGTAATTGCGCACAAAGCTTTAATAGATTCCAGAATCACTCTCCTTCAAGAAAACGCTCGGCAATCATCTACGACATTGTCTGGAGAGACTTTTGTATCTAGTCTTATTCGAAATGAAGAGATCCTTTCCTGTCTGATAAACGATGAAGGATACGATCTTCAAAGCAATCCGATTCTCGACGCGGAGTATAATTACCTTTATCAGCGATTGACTAAGGAATGCGAGGACAGGATATCCGGAAGAAAAGAATCGAAAGAGCAGCTTAAGAACGTTAGTCAGTCGTTGTTTCATTTGGAAGAGAATCTAGCTGAGCTCAACAAATGTATAAAGGACAAAATGGGCGTGAAACTCGAAAATATAATGTGGCCCAAATCGACGAGCAGCATCACGGATTGGTCCAGCGTGTGCGAAAAATGCTTGCATTTGCGGGAACAGATAAGGAAACTGAGTGATTACATGAACAACATATCATGCCAGACGTGCAGTAAACTGCAAGAAACTATTCAGAAGATAACTAACGAGCATAATCAGGAATTAGAGACACTCAAGCGTAATCAAGAGAGAGATCTAATGGATATCAAGGGCGAATTAGATAATCAGCGTCAATCTCTAACGACGCAGTACGAACAGGAAGCGGCAAGCTTACGCGAGAGAGCCAGAAAATTGGAGCACCGTCTCAACGCGATGGATTCCGAACACTCGGCTCATGTGAATGAGCTGAGAGCCGCTTATCAGAGATCAATAAACGCTGAATTGGATACCGACGCCGAGACGCGAAAGCGATATAAGGAGGAGATCAAGCAACTGCGTGCGTTATGCGAGAAAGGTTTGTTGGCTATGGAAAACTCACACAGGCGTATTATCGCTGAAATGGAAGAGAAACATCGGCAAGAGTTGGAGAATCTAAGAGTGGAGAAGGAACAAGCACTCTCCGAGGAGACACAAGCAACTCTGGCCGCACTAGACGCCATGAGGAAAGCGCATGAACACGAGGTGCAAAAGGAGATCGCCAAATTCAAACAAGAATTTATCAAGCAGATGCAGGCGCGCGAGGATATCGGTGTGCTGCACAAAGAACATGAGTACGTGGCGATTTCAATTTAAAAGTTAAAATCGTCGACTTAAATTTACTTACATTTGTTGCTTACATTTTTAAATTTGAACACTCTTTTTGCAGAGAGGAAATGGAGGAGATAAAGCAAGAGATTCTTTCTCTGTCCGCCAAGTATTCATCCAAGTGCGTGGAATCTGCCGCGTTGGAGGAGAAAGTGGGCAATTTGTCCAAGCAACTCGCCCAGGCGCAACAGCACATCATGCAACTGGATGCGAGGAACAAACAGTTGCGAGCACATTTGGTATTGGAGACGAACGACGGTGGTATCAATGATACCATACAGCTTTTGAGAGGTAGGGACAACGAGCTCGCCGAACCAAGAGAAGAGATGCATCGACTGCAACAACAATTCAAGGTATGACTGTTCCTCTTCCTACGAGAAATTTATTGTTTAGAAAAAAAGTAGATGTGGTTAACAAATATGTACACTACTAAATTGATTAACTCCGCTGCAATTACATATTACAGTGTTCCGCCTAGTGGGCTTATCGCGCTTTAACGAAATGTTTTGACCATATCGGTATTTCAATAATGCTGAAATAAGAATCATGCGCTTTTTCATTAACGATCGCCTCATCGTTTTTGTTCATTCGAACTTGTATATCGCTTTTGTAAATAATATAATATCAGAACTATCACGTATGAACGAGTTCGACTGTCGTAAATACCACAATGCAACCACAATGATGTAATTTTTAACTTAGCGGCGATTTGACTAGCATTTAACCCGTCCCTGCCGCTCGCCGATCAACCGCATTGACACATAATTTTCGATATTTCACTAACAGCATGGGGACAACCTTCGTGAATCGTCCGGTGTGCCGTCAAAAGTCACCCTGTCGCTAGACTACTCGCCCGCCTACTCGCCGCAACGCCTTAGAGGTAGTCAGAGCGGTGGCGAACAGAAATTAACGGGCGAACGAAGCCCAAAAGGAGCAAGCTCCTTGTCTACCGCGTTGCAAAAACAGTCTCTGTCGACGGATCGGTCCCAGAGCGCATTCTCGTATAGACTCGAGCGCGTAAAATCCGTCTCGTTGCCGTACTCGAGTAGTCTAGCCAGACCGGCGAGTAGCGTCGGCGTCTCCGGCTCGCACATTGACGGGAAAGAGCCGCCGGCGAGTTTAGGGCAAAAGGAGCGTAATGGCAACCTGGGCTCGTCATTGTGGGACAGCTTGCGACCGAGGAGCGGCCTGCCTCATCAGTATCAAGGTACAGAAGAGAGATGAATGCAGGGAGAGAGAAAAGGAGGAAGGTCCACGGTGATGGAATGCGTTATCGACAGCGGGAGAACCCACGATGCTTTTGTAAAATATTACATGCGTTTGCTGACTTGATCGTGGTTTTATTGTCGATGATGTCGTTACTTTATGATCGGTATTGGTTCGAAGAATTTTACTTGTCTTTCCGCATGTATGCAACCCAAAACGTTGCATTGATTTTCCTTTTTTTGTGATACAAAAAAAAAATCGCGAAAGAGTCAGACAAGATTTCTATCTTCGATTGTTACTATCTTACGGAGGGAGAGTATGAAATTAACACACGCTTTATGGAAATTAACAGCGCTTTTAAGATATTAACACTGTTAAAATATTGCTGACTGATACGAAGACTGTGAGCATATAATTTTAAGCGGGCTCTGCATATAATTTTAACGCGATCAGTGTTATTAATGCAGTATGCATTATATTAATATACATTGTATTCATTACATTAATATGATATTTATTATGATATTAATCTAAATATTAAATGATTAATTATTGGATAATATGGAGAATATATAGAGACCGCTTAATTATACGTAAATTATATAACTGTGCAATATTTGTCAAAAATGTGACGTTTGTTAAATTCTATGAAGAGCTTGTTCTTCATCGCATGTATATAACGATGAGTTTAAGTCTTTCCTCTTTATTATCTACATTGTTAATTATTATATTAGTTTTTATGAGAATAATTGAAAATTGGCGACCTTCTAATTGTAATTAAGTTATTTATTATGTCATACTGATAACTAACATAAAAAAGCGTGCCTATTATTATCTGAGATCAATTGCATACGATGCATCATGTAATGCTTGTCTAACGCTGATTATTTGCTAACATTAATTTTGTACGGGTCCATGATGTGCAATATGTGAAGTAACCTGGCCTTTCCTGTGGGTGTAACATATACTATATATTATATATTATAAATGTCTAATTTATAAAAATATTAGCCATGTATCATATACAATATATTAAGAATGTGCATGTGACGATCATCAAGTAAAAAATGTATACATAAAATGTATACGTCAAGTAAAATGTATACGTAATCTAATTTTTACAAAAACATTTATATCCACTTGAATTAATTCAATTGAAATTTCTCTCGGTTACATATAGATTTAGTCACTGACACATCTCTGAAGAATATTGAAATATACATTGACGTAGATATAATAATTTACTCAATAATAAAATTTAACACATCAGCCTAAGATTAAATTAATTGATTTAAATTAAAATTTAATTGTTTTCTGATCTTTAAATATCTAGAAAAAAAAATACTATATATATTTTTTTTTTCGAATAAGATGTGTATGTGCGCGTATACAGATTTTTGCATTACTTTTCAGAGTATATATAATTAGTATGTATAATAGTACGTACACACAAACGCATACAATTATACATACATCTATATATTACACGAAAAGTGATGCGAAAATAAAAATTAAATAGATCCAGAAAGAACAAAGTACATGTTACAAATTTTTTCTACGATATCATGCGATAATCCAAAAGTATTTAAAAAATATTGGAGGTGAAAAGATATTAAGATAGATATTCGATAGATATTCTTTAACGATTCATAATTCACAATTTTAATGTTTTTTTATTATATTTTTGTAACGCGACGCAATAACTGACTGTATGTGAAAGACGCTTACGGATACGATGTGCGGTGAGCGTAACGATATTTCGACAACTGTTTGACATGTAAGGTGGCACAGCAACAGAGATGCGAGTCGGCAGCGGCACTGGCGCCCAGCGGTGGCAGGAGACCAAACAGAATGAAAAGCAGCAGCTCTCGCAGGCATACACCCTCCGTGCCAACGCTCGTCACACATCCCGCCTCACCCCGGAACCCACAGCTCTCTCCGTTGCAGGTCCGTTTGCCGTCTTCGTGTGGCTTTATGAATCTAAGCAAAGTTACCTAAGCAAATGTTATCTTTTCACGCTATCCGCTTTTATCACATCTTCATGATCTGTACTATATTTGTATGTTCGCTTTAGTTCGTGTAATATGAAATATTTACATTTATGAGTTTCGTTCAGTCTTTGCACCTCGAGACGTTTTCATAATTATGTTTGACGTTTTCTCACCTATGTACTTATTACAGAGTTGATGAGGTCTCCAACAGTGAGGTGGTCCAGCAGAAGTTGTCGCAGCCTACCTCCAACCCCCACACCAAGTTACCATCATCCACTTCACCCTCCTCTACCCGCCGTGGGCATGGTCGCCGAGAGGAAGAAGCGTTTTGAGCTCTGAATTTCTGTTTTTTTTTTCTGTTTTAGTTCATTAATAATTAAATAATGCGCGTGCAGAGAAATGATGGAAACAATTGCGTTTGACTTATCTAAAATTGTTTGGCAAACAAAATTTAGACCGTTTAGATAATGAAACATATCATTTATATTGGAAAGAAGAAATACTATTCTAATATGTATTTCTTCGTCCGAAAACTATAAGACTGAAAGACTATTTCGATATATTAGATGGACCAATAAATAATTTTAAAATGTTCCACAAAACGCAGACAATTCGGAAAATATCATATCTGCAATTCGCAAGCACTCAAATCGCAGTTTTATCGCTATACATATAAAAAAATATGTGAGGCTTGGATGATTTTTGATGGACCAAAGTCGAAATACGATCGTGCTCGTCGTATATCGAATATTGAACGTGTTTATTAAGTAAACATGATTCAATAGCCGGAACGAGTCCCGATTGTTAAAAAAGAGGATGGAGATTATCCCTTCTCTTTCTTCGATATGAAAACTCAAGAATAACGTCAAGAGTTCATCGTGGGCCTATCGATTACGATAGGTCATTTTTGACAGAATTTTTCCCGACAGTATAAATTTTTCTAAGAATATTTACTCACGCCATTTTTGCAGGCGGCGGTTCTTTGATACGCATTTAGACTTTGATAAGAAAACTTTTTACCGTAGGTTGCGAATAGATCTTTTGCTACAATTGACTTTCCGCGTATGTCGATTTTGGAATACATATTTCGGGGCATTATTTATCGCAAAACGTTACGCGCGAAACTTTTCACGATATACTATTTGGTGCTAAAAACAAATGTGAGTTAAGGAACGCATAGTTACGAATCGTGTATACAATTGTCGTGATAGTCTGTCATAATGTAGCATAGAACTGTGTTTCGATGTAAAAATATATAGAACCAAGGATAAATATTTATTAGGTTTCTGCAGTCTTCTCGAAATTCACGTCGACTAAGTGTACTCGATGAGTAAAATTTTTTATTTTCATAATTGAAACTTGCTTTATGCTTATTATCAAAGAAAATAATTTGTAAACGTTAATGTTATTAACGTGAAAATATGAATAATTAAATGTTTGACATTATTAGATTTAATTCTGAAAGACTTGTATTTGTTGAGTGTATATTCACCAAGTTAAATGAAATATTCCATTTTACGCTGGTTAAATTTGATTCTGTACTTGTGTACGTCTATTCTCTCTTAAAGAGAATCCCGTTAAGTTTGTTATCTTTAAGACACAAATACTTTATGAATTATGCACTTCTAGTTATTACAGAGAAGATATTTCTGGCAGCAAGTGTGAATAAGTGTTAAATAAGTATAAAAAAAAAGAAATTTTAGTTTGTTAATTGAGAACAAAGAGATCGTTTTACGCTTGTTTCTCGCTCTTGTTATGTATAGGTATTGCACATAATATACAGCGATATGGCATTGCACCGTGTATTATCGCATCTTCTCATTGTGTAAATGTTTTCAGGTTGCGATCATTTGATGTTAATACTGTATAGTTTATGACGTTTTATTAAGAAACAATAAAATATAGAGACAATTAACTCCCTCCCTTTCCCAATCCCCCATATATCGTGTGTATGGATTGTTTATATATTACTATTGTATTTTATATTATATATATTATTACGATTTATTCGATTATTATTGCGATTCGTTCCAGTGATTCGCTCGATATTAAAACGATAAAAAATATTAAAAACTTTTTGATTGTCCCTTATGTAGAATAATTACTCAGGATTGTTTAACATTTATAATATATTACGATTATGCTATTGTATTTGTATGATAATTTATAACACGTTTGAAATAAAATACAATAACCATGAACACATTCATCAGACAGTTAACTGTTATTTGTCTCTTTATATATCCATTTGTATTAATATGTTCCAATAATGTTTGATCTTCTTTTGTTGCAAATATTGTCACATTTTCTAAAATTTTCTAAAATTTTATGCTGAATGATTTTAGTATCAATTGAATAATATAAGAGGAAAGTGACTATTGACCAATTTCTCGAATTTTTGGTGCTCGAGGAAACATCTTTAAAAGAAGGGCACAAAACAAATATGTAGATTTATTTGAAAAATATTTAATAATAAACATTGACAATATACAGAGAAAATACGCCATAAGAAGTCGCTATGGGATTAATAAGAACCTAACAACTGGTCCAGACTTACAAAATATCATCAAATCAGACAATGATAAAGGTGTCACGAATCACACCTTATATTCCTATCAATATTTTCGCAAATAAAGTTCATCGAGTTGATCATATATTCTTGCTCTCTTATACCTTTTCATTTTATTCCTTTACTGATTTCCATTAATTTCTTATTAGCGAGCTCGCTATTGCGTGTTTGAACTCAGCCCGCGTAAATCGCTTATATGTATGAGATGGAAATCCGCAAGGAGACACAGAGATAGCAACGGCGTTTCTCTTTGTGGATTTCTTTTTTTACATTTGCGAGAGAAGCGAAAAAACAGGTGGTGATTTTAGCTGTTTTAGTTTTCTCAGCGATCCAACAAACGTCACTGGGCGTTTATCTTCATTTGTCATTTTGTCTTCGTGCTACCTTACAATGATAATTAATTCGTGCTCTTGATTTCACCAATTTGTGAAGAAGGGGTACGAGTTTCTCTTCTTTCATTCATCGCACACACACATACACACACACACACACACACACACACACACACACACACACACACACACACACACACACATACA